AGTGTCTCTACTTTAAAGAGTCCTCTCCTGCTGATGTTCAGGTGTATATCAGTATGTAGTGTCTCTACTTTAAAGAGTCCTCTCCTGCTGATGTTCAGGTGTATATCAGTATGTAGTGTCTCTACTTTAAAGAGTCCTCTCCTGCTGATGTTCAGGTGTATATCAGTATGTAGTGTCTCTACTTTAAAGAGTCCTCTCCTGCTGATGTTCAGGTGTATATCAGTATGTAGTGTCTCTACTTTAAAGAGTCCTCTCCTGCTGATGTTCAGGTGTATATCAGTATGTAGTGTCTCTACTTTAAAGAGTTATCTCCTGCTGATGTTCAGGTGTATATCAGTATGTAGTGTCTCTACTTTAAAGAGTCCTCTCCTGCTGATGTTCAGGTGTATATCAGTATGTAGTGTCTCTATTTTAAAGAGTCCTCTCATGCTGACGTTCAGGTGTATATCAGTATGTAGTGTCTCTACTTTAAAGAGTCCTCTCCTGCTGATGTTCAGGTGTATATCAGTATGTAGTGTATCTACTTTAAAGAGTCCTCTCCTGCTGATGTTCAGGTGTATATCAGTATGTAGTATCTCTACTTTAAAGAGTTCTCTCCTGCTGATGTCCAGGTGTATATCAGTATGTAGTATCTCTACTTTAAAGAGTTCTCTCCTGCTGATGTTCAGGTGTATATCAGTATGTAGTGTCTCTACTTTAAAGAGTCCTCTCCTGCTGATGTTCAGGTGTATATCAGTATGTAGTGTCTCTACTTTAAAGAGTCCTCTCTTGCTGATGTCCAGGTGTATATCAGTATGTAGTATCTCTACTTTAAAGAGTTATCTCCTGCTGATGTTCAGGTGTATATCAGTATGTAGTGTCTCTACTTTAAAGAGTCCTCTCCTGCTGATGTTCAGGTGTATATCAGTATGTAGTGTCTCTACTTTAAAGAGTCCTCTCCTGCTGATGTTCAGGTGTATATCAGTATGTAGTGTCTCTACTGGGACATGTCTCCATGCTTTAATGTTCAAAAAGCTCTTTATTTTTCTCATACTGCCTGTGCTGCAGCACCTCTTTTCACCCTCTGTCTGAAACCAGAGCCCAGTCTGCTCTGATTGGTTAGCTGGTCGGCTCTGTGTGATTGGTCAACTGCTTAGAGATGTCCCGCCCCTTAGCCTATCAGGTACAATGTGTTGGAGTGCTAGCAAATAGAAGCGTGAGTGTTCCATAGTGATGTCATAATGTTCCGGAAGTAAACAAAGGAGTCCAATGGAGGCGTTATAGGCAGCCTTTGCAGACCATTAACATGCACAGAAACCTATAGAAGACACAGAAAAAACATAATAGGGCCTCTTTAATGCTTCCATAAATAGTGAAAAATAACATTTTTAATAACAAGATTTCACTTTGTGTGATGATGATGGAGTGAAGTCACGTTGTAGCTTTTCTTCCTAATGGCTTATCTAGAGCAAAGTATCTGAACAACCTGAGTATTTCAAAAGATTTCATAGAAAAATAACATTTCACAGTCTTTATAACAGAGGAGAGCAGAAATAAATAATACAAATGACATGTTTCCAGAGATTCTGCACCAGCTTACGATTATTATTATTATTATTATTATTATGGAGGATTTTACAGTAAGGGCAATTTTCTGGCATGAATAAAACGTCCTGCTTTTCTCCCTGGTTGCAGGATTTTCACAGTAATAAAAATCAGCGGTTAGGATAAGGTGGTTTATGTTACCAAGGCAACTGTACGTGGCACGACGGGCACAGCACTCTCTGAACAACGAGGAGTGTCTTTATTCTGACCCCACATTAAAACAATATTAACAGTAGGTGAAATATGCACGCTGAATGCATATTTTTGGCATCCTAATTCACTTCCAGCAGCATATTACAAAACATTCATTCATAATAGGGCAGGTACAATATATATAGATATATATAATATACTCTGTTTATATTTCGAGCCATCACGAAAGCTATATACCAATTTCACACGATAATCAATATTATGGTGGGTACCTGTTGTATATATATATACTGCATTTATATATAGATTTATCATGTTTTATAACAATAAAGTAGAGTATTTACAATATTTCTCTATAAATATTTACTGAATATAGATTTCACACCTGCAGATAAAAGGGATTTGCATCGTCACGATCAAATATGTATTTATACGGAACAACAGGAAGAGGTCACATAAAACAGAGGATGTGTTCAAACCATAGACTGTATATATAAATAATAATAATGAATAATCATGAAGGTGGAATCTAACTATATCCCGAATAATTTGTATTGCATCCAGGGGTAGACACGTGTTTATTTCTGCTGTAAAGTTGGTAGGGGCGGACTGGCCATTGGGAATACCGGGAGTTTTCCCGTTGGGCCGGTCGAGTTTCCCGGGTTGATTTTTAGTCCCAGCCCGCCCCTGAAAGTTGGGCATTTAAACATGGGGGTCTATGGAAATGGCTCCTTTCTGCAGTCATCGCCTATCGGCCAATAGATGAACTGCAGTTTGTGGCACTTCCTTATTGGCGTCCCGGCTCTGCCCCAGAGTTTGCCGCTTGGTTCAAACATGTGACGCTGGCTGCGGTCGAAGAGTCTTTTCTGTTCAGGAATGACCTGAAATGTCATGTTTGAATATGCAAAAGAGGCATTATCTTATTAAATATGTGCCATTTGCATCCATGTCCAGACCAGAAATGTGAACACTGGATAAAGCCGGGTTCAAAACACTCGTTTCAATTTGTTAACATTTTAGAGTCAAAGGTTTTTGCAGAGGGGATTCAAGATACCTCTTCAAACTGTTACAAAAAAGTCATTTTCTGCACGTTTTTAGTACAAAATTATGTATAAATGAGTGTGTGAATGGTGTTAAAAGCTTAAGAATAAAGAGAGTAAGGAAAGTGGACAGTTTGGTGTGTGTAAGTGTAAGTGTAAGTGTAAGTGTTACTGAAGTGGAGATTTCTGCAAAGAGGAGAGAAAACGGCCTTTAAAGATCTGGATTGCAAAATTCCTCCATTTTGTTACACTGCAGGTGAATAGGGTAACAAATATAACTAGCAGATATCACTATGAAACTTCCCCACTTCATTACTGACATTAACATAACCATTTTTGATATTGCAAGTTTCCTGAAATGTTATGTATAGCTATGCTAATGAGGCCTTATGTAATACTAACCTATGGCGAATTTAAGAGAAATCTACAGACACAAAAAGACAAAGTAGGTCAAATAAACTCCTAAATGAGGATGTTGGATGTTCTCTTTCCACTTGTGTAAAATAAGACATGTTATGGAAGCTAATTAGACCCAAAATCAAACTGACCAGAGCATGAAACATATATGTTTAGTGTCTCTTTATGTCTGTACTCATTGTCCATGTGTTATTAATACAATTGCTTTACAGTATAAAACATCAGTATGCTCATGAAAGTGCAGCGTATGACCTCCTACTGTAGCACCGTGTTTGAATTCTCCTTCCACACACCCTTGACCTCATGTCATTTTCTAACAACATCACACAACCTTTTATGGGAAAATACATAATTCATATATTTTTTTGGTTGACTATTCGACCGCAGCCAGTTTCCTCTCAGCCAAGATGGACGTGCTGATGGATGATAGTCTCAGACAGTTTGCAGACAGTTATTGCTCAGTTTCTCCATGAGGTCTAAATGTCTTTGCAGTCTTTGTACAGCAGGGGGGGGGGGGGGGGGGGGGGGGGGGGGGTACTCTGCAGGAACAGCATGGAGACAGAGAAATACCGTGTTGTCCTGGAAACACCTAGCACATTACTGCAGACGTTAAGAAGGGATAATAATAAAACGATGGTGTGATGTTTATAGGAGTGCTTATTTAACTTGTGTTAAATATCATTTTGCGTTTACAATAGGGCTGCACAATTATTTGTACCTGTTGTCTTGATGAAAATATCAACCTGGGTGTCCTGATACTGCGTCTAATGAAGCTCGGCGTGATTCAATCAGGAAGACCGTCTTTATATCCTGTCATTTACATATTTCCATTTTACTATGCTCACCTCAATCACTCTCTCCTGATTGAACTCTACTTCTTCTGATGTATCAGGACTTTTGAGACAAATAATGTGAGCTAGGCGTAGGGCTGCTCGATTATGGCAAAAATCATAATCTCGATTATTTGGGTCATTAGGCGCGTTCACACCAAGTACTTTTCCCACAAAGGTTCCTGAGAACTCTTTAGTTCTTATGAACTAAATACAGATCGCGTTCACACCGGAATAAATCCCTGAGGGAGGATTAGGCAAATGAAGCCGCTGACGTCACTTCTTCTTCTTCTGCTTTGGGTTTACTGGCAGGCCGCAAACCACTTCACGGCGTATACTGCCGCCCGGAGTCCCCGGCCGGAAGTCCCCGGAGTTGGGGACTGGCTTCAGTAGAAGCTGCTGGGACTCCCAGCAGCTTCTACTGAAGCCTTCCGAGTAAACGGCCAGAACGCCGACACCTCCTCATCTCCACCGCTCCCATGTTTTCTTTTGTGTTGCCATAAGTTAGTCTCTCTGCGTTTCTGCGCGGGGCTAATGCTAATGCTAATAATGCTAATGCGAGGATAATAAAATGGCGGCTTCACAAAACTTTTTGGGAGTTTTACGGGGCGTGGTTTGCAATCCGCCCAGCCAATCAGACATAGGAACCTTTTTCTCCCACGAAAGTCCCTGCTCTCTAGCAGGGACTGAAAAGGCGGTAAAAAAGGTTCTCATGAACTAATTTAGTTCCTGGGATTTTTTGGTGTGAACGCAACTACATCGTAGTTCTCAGGAACCTTTGTGGGAAAAGTACTTGCTGTGAACGCGCCTAATAATTGTAATTGCGATTATTAAATGCGAATATTCATTTACTTTGAAAACATCCATTTATTGGAGAAAAAAATGTGAACAGTATGTTTTTAACAGTTGATTAACCTGAACTTTAAGTAGAATTGAAGTGAAAAAAAAAAAAAAAAAAAAAAAAAGTAATAATAATTTAAAAATCGTTTTATTTCGATTACGTTGTTTTCGTAATCGTTGCAAGCCATAATCGTAATCGAGATTAGAATATGATTAATTGAGCAGCCCTAGCTAGGCGTCAATATTGTCTAGGTTACCGTCCTTGCTTTTAACATTTCACGTATTAAACATCATGAAATAACAGCACCAAAACTCTTTGAATGCGAGGCCTAATGAAGCAACTTCTGTATTGTAAGTTTACTCGCTTCAATAGAGTCGCCGTGGTGACGTTTAGTCGTCTCATTTAGACACATTTACTGACTTATTGTATGTCGTAAAACAACGCGTTAACATCTCTTCAGCTTGTGCTAACCACAGGCCGGCTAACAACCAAAACACAAACCATAGCGAGGGAACGGGAGAAAAGGCTGACTGTTTCAGGACTCTCTACTCTATGTTGTTGTTATTTACAGGTTGTGAAATCAGTCAGAGGTCAGCTGTAAAAAGGCACAAAGAATATCAGACTGTAGATTATCAGAAAGAGTAAATGCTCTCATCCGGAGGGTTCGTCCAGCTGCTGCTGCTCCACGCTCTTTTTCCTGTTAAAAAAGTTAAAGAAGGAGCTCCTCTGGCCTCCCCTCCTCTTCCCTCTGGGGACGAGCCAGGGTCCGGGCTGCGCCGCGGCCAGAGAGAGGCCCGAGATGCTCGCCGCGTCCGATAAACTCCCTCCAGACTCAGACTCCTCCTCCTCCTCGTCCTCCTCCTGCTGCTGATCCAGGGTCAGCGAGGAGGAGAGGAAGGAGAACACATTCCTCTGAAACACGGGATCCATCTCCGGCATGGCGTCACGCTCTGCATCCTCCTCCTCTTCCTCCTCTTCCTCCCTCTTCAGTCCTCTGTACTCTGCAGACCTGCTCGCCTCCCCCTTCTCCTCCCAGGTGTATTTGGGTGTGGGGAGCTTTCGGTCCAGACTTGGAATCGGTAAGAAGACATCATCTTCCTCCTCTGAACTCACCTTCTCCTCCACCTTCCCTTCCTCCTCTTGCTCCTCACCCTCTACCTTCTCCTCACTTGTACTTTTCCTCCGTCTGCTTTTACTCCTTCCTCTCTCCCTCTTCCTCTCCCTCCGCTCATCACTATCATCACGGTTCCTGAGGTCATCTCTTGTTACACTTTGAGACTCTTTATTCGTCCTCCTCCTGTCCTCCCCCGGCTCAGATTCAGGGCTCTGTAATTCTCCCTCTGAGTTGTGTGTCCTCCTCCTCCTCCTGCTGCTGCTTTTCCGTGCTTTCTCCTTCTCCAAAGCGCTCGTAGACTTGCTCCTGGGCTTCTTCTTGTGCCTGGAGCTGGCCCTCTTCCTCCTGCTGGAGTTCACTGCAGCCACACCCTGCTGCTGGGGGTGACGCAGGGGGGAGGGGGGGGAGATCCCGTGCTCACGGCCTGGATGAATGGGTGAGAGAGAGGGGGAGAAAACAGACTGAATATGGAGAGACGTGTCTGACAGTAATCCATCAGTAAAGCGCTGTGAAATCCACAAAGTGGTTCAGTGTTATTGTGAGTGCGTCAAATGATGTCACAGTGTAGAGAGGAGGTTTCTGGGTCGGCGTAAGAGAATAAAAACGTAATTTGAGACCTTTAAAGATATTTGGAGGTCCAAGTGAAGACACCAGAAGTGATGTGATGTGTCTGTCAACGTCAAAACTATATCAGGTTGAAAAAAGAGCCATTTCTATTGAGAGATCTTTTAAATGGGACCTCAATTATGTTTGATGGCCACTTACATATTTCTTATTACATTACATTACATGTCACTTGTTAGACGCTTTTATCCAAAGCGACTTGCACACTCAGTAAGGCTGCTCGATTATGGCAAAAATCATAATCTCGATTATTTGGAACAATAATTGTGATTATTAAATGCGATTATTCATTGACTTTGAAAACATCCATTTATTGGAGAACAATTTTTGAACAGTATGTTTTGAACAGTTGATTCCCCTGAAGTATAATTCAACTGAAAAACCAAAAAAAAAAAAATCTTTTTATTTCGATCACGTTGTTTTCGTAATCGTTGCAAGCCATAATCGTAATCGCGATTAAAATACGATTAATTGAGCAGCCTTACTACTCAATACTGTGGGCAATCCCCACAGGAGCAATTTGGGGTGAAGTGTCCAGGGACACAACGACATGCTGACTGCAGTGGGGTTTGAACCTGTGACCCCCTGATCTGAACACCAACCCACTGCGCCACACGCCTCTTATAATCCCTGGAATATGTTTAATGGAAACTAAAATATGTGTAATGCATGTATACGGGACCTTGCATGTCTGTTACCTACAACAGTATCTGTTCCTTTCACTTTTACACATCTAAATGTATTTGTAATTGTAGTGTCAATCATTTCAAAACTTAAAAAGGTGCTGCCCACCCCATACAAAACCTATCTTCAATGCATCACCAGTCATCATTTATACATTAATAAAGACATGTTATCTCACATAAGGTTTGTTTGTTTATTTTTGCACGTCACGTTAGCAGTGGTGAGAGAGACAGAAAATGGGGGAACTAACAGGAACCATTACCAACCGCGTATTCTCTGTCCGTCCAATCACATAGAAGCAAGGCTCGCCCAGCTTAGAGTTGGTCATACAGAGAGAGAGACTGGAGAGCTCCACTGAGAGAGGAAGAGGAGGAGAAAGAGGAGGAAGAGGAGGAGGAAGAGGAGGAGGAAGAGGAGGAAGAGGAGGAATGTTTGGAGGAGAATGAAAACCAAGCAGGGCCAAAAGTAATGTGGGAAAGTAAATGCAAAACGGATCGGATGGAAAGGTTGGAAACACCACAAAGAAAGGGAAGGACAGAAAGTCTGTTAGTCAGAATCAGTCCCACAGGAGGAGAAGAAGAAACACCTGAGATCAAAGCTTCACATGCAGACAAACACAAGTGCTCACATCAGATGTTCTCCTCTGCAATGTGAGTGAATATCTTTGTATTTTAAATGTAGTCGAGGTAGTTGTGTATCAATATCCCAAAATATGATTCATGTCAATACAGTTCCATTAAAAATCAATTACTAACCATACTGATTCAACCATGACTCACACATCAGCCTATAATTCTCCCTATTAACCTCAGTGTGTGTGTGTGTGTGTGTGTGTGTGTGTGTGTGTGTGTGTGTGTGTCTCACCGTAGTCGGGCACGTATCCGTTGCCTCTCTTCAGGATCAGGTGGATGCGATGTCCTCCTCTCCTGATCTGCTCCACAGCCTGACTGTGGGTCATCCCTAAGGTGCTGTCTCCATTAATCTCCACCAGCTGATCGCTCACCTGCACACACACACACACACACACACACACACACACACACACACACACACACACACACACACACACACACACACACACACACACACACACACACACACACACACACACACACACACACACACACAAAATATGTTCATTATTTATTCATTTTTCAAGCAAAAATCTCCGAAAATCAGTTTTAACTCTCAAATTTGGAGACTTCCTGCTTTTCTCTTATTATTATTATCATATTAAAGTGGGTCTTTTTCAGTGATGGACGGACAAAATAAGACATTTAAAGACATCAGCTTGATATTAGGGAACTGTGAAGGCCATTTTCACTATGTTCTGTTATTTTAAAGAACAACACAATAGGCAGACTGATGGATAATGACAATAATTATTGGATGCTGTAAATATAAAGGCATAAAAGCAGCTAAGAGACGACAGAAATGTTGATTTATTTATGAATTACATTGTATTCAAAGCAGTTTTATCTGTGCTCATTTGCTCGTGAATATTCAATGCTTTTGCAGGAAAAGGGATTTTTCTCAGGGATTTTATTGTCTTTAAAAACTGAAAAAAATACAAAAGTAAGTCTCAACTAAAAATGTAATATAATGAAATAAAAAGTAACAAAACAACAGTATACAGGATTGTGTTTCTTAGCATTAATATAAGTATATATTGTGTTATTATCCTATCTTTAATCAACATTGAATTCATCATGTCTGTTTGAAGTTTTTCTGTGAATCATTCAAAAGATAATCTTGTGTATAACTGCACATGCTCACGCACAGAAGTGTAAATAACAACAACAACAACATTGGGATGATGAACACACCTGCATCCTCGTGCTCCTGGAGGCCGGCCCCCCCTCCATCAGCCCCAGGACGTACAGCCCCATGTTGTACTCACTGCCCCCCCGCAGGGAGAAGCCGAAGCCTGAGGAGCCGCGGTCCAAATCCACGCTGTAATACCTGGAGTCACGCTGTGGGGGGGGGGGGGGGGGGGATTAGAAACAGGAAGTCATTATAATAATAGTAAAGCTTTATTTATATAGCACTTTCCATACAGCACATGCAGTGCTTTACAAAATGACTCATCACAAGTTAAAAATACACAACAAGAAATTCCCCTCATGTTATTTGTTAAGAACTTTAAAAGGTACATGCAGCAGAATATAACATTTGATCAGGTTCATAGACACAAGGAGGTGAAAGGTATGATAATACAAATTAAATAAATAATGGTTTCTCTCTGACAGATAAGACACAAGGAAACTGAGTCGATGCGACAACATAAAACCCCATGAAACAAAGTGAACATATAGGTACAACAGGAATAAAAAGAAAACGACAATAGTAATTTGTGGGGGAAACTTCTGTAGCAATGGAGAGTCAGGACTCAGAGAGGCACGAGGAGAGCTGGAGCTTTGATGGAGTCAGGACTCAGAGAGGCACGAGGAGAGCTGGAGCTTTGATGGAGTCAGGACTCAGAGAGGCACGAGGAGAGCTGGAGCCTTGATGGAGTCAGGACTCAGAGAGGCACGAGGAGAGCTGGAGCTTTGATGGAGTCAGGACTCAGAGAGGCACGAGGAGAGCTGGAGCTTTGATGGAGTCAGGACTCAGAGAGGCACGAGGAGAGCTGGAGCTTTGATGGAGTCAGGACTCAGAGAGGCACGAGGAGAGCTGGAGCTTTGATGGAGTCAGGACTCAGAGAGGCACGAGGAGAGCTGGAGCCTTGATGGAGTCAGGACTCAGAGAGGCACGAGGAGAGCTGGAGCCTTGATGGAGTTAGGACTCAGAGAGGCACGAGGAGAGCTGGAGCCTTGATGGAGTCAGGACTCAGAGAGGCACGAGGAGAGCTGGAGCTCTGATGGAGTCAGGACTCAGAGAGGCACGAGGAGAGCTGGAGCTTTGATGGAGTCAGGACTCAGAGAGGCACGAGGAGAGCTGGAGCATTGATGGAGTCAGGACTCAGAGAGGCACGAGGAGAGCTGGAGCTTTGATGGAGTCAGGACTCAGAGAGGCACGAGGAGAGCTGGAGCTTTGATGGAGTCAGGACTCAGAGAGGCACGAGGAGAGCTGGAGCTTTGATGGAGTCAGGACTCAGAGAGGCACGAGGAGAGCTGGAGCCTTGATGGAGTCAGGACTCAGAGAGGCACGAGGAGAGCTGGAGCCTTGATGGAGTCAGGACTCAGAGAGGCACGAGGAGAGCTGGAGCCTTGATGGAGTCAGGACTCAGAGAGGCACGAGGAGAGCTGGAGCTCTGATGGAGTCAGGACTCAGAGAGGCACGAGGAGAGCTGGAGCTTTGATGGAGTCAGGACTCAGAGAGGCACGAGGAGAGCTGGAGCTTTGATGGAGTCAGGACTCAGAGAGGCACGAGGAGAGCTGGAGCTTTGATGGCAAACACTGGCGGTTTATTTGGAGTTACGGCCGGAGCATTCACAAGACAGGTGGTGCGTCACGAGCTGACACAGCGGTTCCCAAACCAATTCTGAAAAACTCTTTCTGCAGCTCGAGGTTTTAACTAGTTCAGAGTGTAATAATCAACATTCTTCATCAGTGAGACTAAACATTATGGACCCTGAATCTAACTAGAGCTCTCGTCCGTAGGAAAGAATGAGCGCCAGGGAGCCTACGTCCCTGAACAGTGAACTACCTCATGGCGGCTTGTGGTCATAGACTGGTAACAACAATGCGCCCAAGCTGCTCCTCCTTAAGAGAGATAGCAGCAGAACCCAAGGCCGTAGACCTAAGCCGTGGGAAAGGAGACAGTGAGAGGAGAACATGATGAACTGGGTCGAAGGTTGAATACCTAAGCAAATTATTCCCTAACAATAACAACAATGCCATTACTCTAATAAAGGTTAAACGATTAAGAAAGAGACCAATGTCAAAATAAATATTGCTATTGAAGCATGTTAGATTAATAAAATAAGACCTATAAAATAAATAAAACATTATAGGTAATTGATAAAGACTAAGAGTACATTTAAAGTGGGGGGTTGCTAATAAAAAGCTAATCTAAAAAGATGTGTCTTTAGCGGGTGTTTAAAACAGGAAGTAGATAAGATATCCAGACAGTTCAGTGATCATGAAGCAAACTTTATTAAAAACCCTTTAAAGGTCACCTATCATGCTATTTGTAGGTCTCAGATATATACAAATATATAAAAAACATGTCTATGAAGTGTTTTGCTCAAAATACCAAACAGATCACCCATTCTAGCCACGCCTCATATCCCTCTATTTCACTTCCTGTTTCAAAAGTGCTGATTTTGGGTATAAAGCTCATGCGGGACCCGGCAGCTACTGTCTAAACTAAATGCTGCCGTGATGAAACGCCATATCATGGATTATCAAGGATTCTCTCTGAAACAGTTTGGAGCTCAAAGGCTTTCTCTCTTGCCGGTTATACCACAAGGTGAGTTCCTTTTTACTTCCTGCTTCTTCACACACATGCTCTCCAGTACAGGTTAGCTCTGAGTGTTAGCGATGCTAATGTAAACACAGACCACATTACGTCCAAAACAGTCGGGCATTGTTTCTGATAGCAACGTTTCTGATTGGGCCGTGGGTCAACATTTCAGATATTACGTCATATCGGACACAAATCTGGATCAGCTCCGTTGTACCCCGTTTTTAGAGATTTGGGTACGGAGGAAAAGAGGGAGGGTTTTATTTTCTGACGCTGCGTGAGTTCCCTGACACACCGGGGACACATGTTGATGTATCAAAGACATCAAAAAGTGATAGGTCCCCTTTAAAGTCCTGGGCTAATTTGGCCGTCTTCACATACTTTTGATTTGCCTTACTGAACGCCATTAAGAAATGTTTAGCATGTCAATGTTTGGTATCTATCTTTTCAAGACAACCTCACCTATATCAACTGATAGTTCTTTTTTACATTTTGACATACTATATGAACATTCTGGACCCAAAATTACCCAAGAAACTTAAAAACAGATATTATTTGTACTATGGGTAACACAAACATGCACAACGAAACATTTTGAAAGCTGGAAATATATACCTGGGGTGTCGCTATGATAATGTAAAAGTTTGATGGAGGTAGAATTAACCTATATACACATTATATGAACACAGAGCAGGTGTATCCAGAGGCGTTAAAGAGGCCCTATTAGGATTTCTGGTGCTCTGTTGTGATTGGTCAACCGCTTAGAGATGTCCCGCCCCCTTAGCCTTTCACGTACAATGTGTTGGAGCGCTAGCCAATAGAATCGCAAGTGTTACAAAGTGATGTCACTATGTTGCGGATGTAAACAATGGAGGGTGGTGTGGGAGAGAAACTCCATCTGGAGGGAACACAGAGATTTGAGCCTTTGCAGACCATTTACATGCACTAAAACCTAAATAAACAATATGGGAAAAACCCAAAATAGCATAATAGGGCCTCTTTAATCTTGGTGCAGCCCTCACCTTTGGACGCGACCTTTGACCCTTTTTGCTCCTGTGCGCGGGGTCATACTCGGTGGTTTCTGAAACGCTTGAAGAATCTGAAAGTAGATGATTATTGAAGTGAGATCATGAAGTGTGTATTTGTGTGCATAGCTACAGTACAGTGTAGATATGTCAATGAAACTCTGAGGTCACAGGTGTGTGTGTGTGTCCTGGTGTTTTTGCTCACAGGTGCTGGGTCGGGGCACGATGGTGAGCCTCAGACTGTTCCCGGCCCTCCGGAGGATCTGAGCGAGCTCCCGGTGGGGCAGCGTGACGACGGAGCGGCCCTCCAGCGCCTCCAGATGGTCCCCCGGGCGGATCTGACCGCTCTTCGCCGCCGGGCTGCCGCGACGCACCGTCACAAACCGGTGAGGGAGGAGCGAGGCGGCTGAGGAGAGGAGGGAGAAACAGACGTGAGACTCAAGACGTCTCATACTCAAGATTCTCATAGGTTTGTTTTTTCTTGGGCAACTCAAGTCACTTTTCCCGCCTATCAATGATATAAATGGGCAATTTGACATAAAAATCAAGATATTTTTTCAATCTGTAAACATGAACATAATAAGATAAATACACATTTAAAATAAGGCAATAAGATATTCTGAAATGACTGTATTATTTAATAATGTGCAGAAATGTGCAAAATAATCTAGGGAGAGAAGAACCGACCAATAGGTATGACAATTAGTTTAAAGGGGCCTATTATGCAAAATCCACTTCTTCATGTCTCTTCTTCATCAACATGTGTCCCCTCTTCTTCATGTCTCTTCTACATCAACATGTGTCCCCTCTTCTTCATGTCTCTTCTACATCAACATGTGTCCCCTCTTCTTCATGTCTCTTCTACATCAACATGTGTCCCCTCTTCTTCATGTCTCTTCTACATCAACATGTGTCTCCTCTTCTTCATGTCTCTTCTACATCAACATGTGTCCCCTCTTCTTCATGTCTCTTCTACATCAACATGTGTCCCCTCTTCTTCATGTCTCTTCTACATCAACATGTGTCTCCTCTTCTTCATGTCTCTTCTACATCAACATGTGTCCCCTCTTCTTCATGTCTCTTCTACATCAAGATGTGTCCCCCTCTTCTTCATGTCTCTTCTACATCAACATGTGTCTCCTCTTCTTCATGTCTCTTCTACATCAAGATGTGTCCCCCTCTTCTTCATGTCTCTTCTACATCAACATGTGTCCCCTCTTCTTCATGTCTCTTCTACATCAACATGTGTCCCTCTTCTTCATGTCTCTTCTACATCAACATGTGTCCCCTCTCTTCATGTCGCTTCTACATCAACATGTGTCCCCTCTTCTTCATGTCTCTTCTACATCAACATGTGTCCCCCTCTCTTCATGTCTCTTCTTCATCAACATGTGTCCCCTCCTTCTCCATGTCTCTTCTACATCAACATGTGTCCCCTCTTCTGCATGTCTCTTCTACATCAACATGTGTCCCCTCTTCTTCACGTCTCTTCTACATCAACATGTGTCCCCCTCTTCTTCATGTCTCTTCTACATCAACATGTGTTCTCCTCTTCTTCATGTCTCTTCTACATCAACATGTGTCCCCTCTTCTTCATGTCTCTTCTACATCAACATGTGTCCCCCTCTTCTTCATGTCTCTTCTACAATCAACATGTGTCCCCTCTTCTTCATGTCTCTTCTACATCAACATGTGTCCCCTCTTCTTCATGTCTCTTCTACATCAACATGTGTCCCCTCTTCTTCATGTCTCTTCTACATCAACATGTGTCCCCTCTTCTTCATGTCTCTTCTACATCAACATGGTCCCCTCTTCTTCATGTCTCTTCTACATCAACATGTGTCCCCTCTTCTCCATGTCTCTTCTACATCAACATGTGTCCCCTCTTCTTCATGTCTCTTCTACATCAACATGTGTCCCCTCTTCTCATGTCTCTTCTACATCAACATGTGTCCCCTCTTCTCCATGTCTCTTCTACATCAACATGTTCCCCTCTTCTTCATGTCTCTTCTACATCAACATGTGTCCCCTCTTCTTCATCGTCTCTTCTACATCAACATGTGTCCCCTCTCTTCAGTCTCTTCTACATCACAGTGTCCCTCTTCTACTCTCTACATCAACATGTGTCCCCCTCTTCTTCATGTCTCTTCTACATCAACATGTGTCCCCTCTTCTCCATGTCTCTTCTACATCAACATGTGTCCCCTCTTCTTCATGTCTCTTCTTCATCAACATGTGTCCCCTCTTCTTCATGTCTCTTCTACATCAACATGTGTCCCCTCTTCTTCATGTCTCTTCTACATCAACATGTGTCCCCTCTTCTTCATGTCTCTTCTACATCAACATGTGTCCCCTCTTCTTTATGTCTCTACATCAACATGTGTCCCCTCTTCTTCATGTCTCTTCTACATCACAGTGTCCCCTCTTCTTCATGTCTCTTCTACATCAACATCCCTGTCCCCCGCCCTCTTCTTCATGTCTCTTCTACATCAACATGTGTCCCCTCTTCTTCATGTCTCTTCTACATCAACATGTGTCCCCTCTTCTTCATGTCTCTTCTACATCAACATGTGTCCCCTCTGTGGAAAGAGACTCTGAAAGTTTCAGGAACAAAGATTCTCTCTCTTTTTGATCCATTTCTATAAAAACCTGTCTGAAAATGAGCTGATCAGATTTTGCCCACTTTATGATGTCATAACGATGTGTTGTCTTGTGTAACCATTAGCCAATCAGCAACCAAGGTAACCCTCCCCCCTTATCACCTGAATCTCCTCCTAGAGCACCATTGTGTTCTTTGTAACCAAATGTCTCTCAGAGGGGCGTGGGGAGGGGCTCCTTATTTTCATCTAAAGTAACAGACAGAGAATCAGCTCTTTGGAAACAGGGCTGAAACAGAGGGGATTATGGGTAATGCTGCAATGATCTGTTTGGTGTTTCAGCCAATCAGAGACAGGCTGTATATAGACCCGTAATATATTGATCAAAAACAGTATGATAGGGGACCTTTAATATGTATTATAATTATTAATGGTTAGTCAAAACATATTTAAGACAAAATTCCATCACTTTCACTTTTAAATAGTGAAATACTGAACACCCAGTGGCGAACCGTCAGGGCCTTCAAGGTATTCAGAGAATACCCTGGAACACTCAGATAAAACAAACAAAAAATCGATTTAATTATATATATAAAATGAATAAATGAGAATGGTATCTGTGTTGATCTGTAATATTACAGTGTTACGTTGATTTGTTCGTCCTTCTCGATGCACTACGCATTTCAGTGGTGTTGTGTTAGAAAAGAAAGCAACCAATCAGATCTTGTTCTGGGTCTCTGGGTAGAATATCCTTCAAGGTATTCTACATCCTTGATCGAATGCCGTTGCACTGAATGAGAGCGTGCGTGTGGACTGACAGTTTGATCAACCAATCATATATTGATTTGTAGCCAATGGGCGTATTCTTTCAGAGTTCCATTTTTTTGTGACAGACAAGTCGTCGGAGTCATCATGCCTCCAGTCCAAATCACGTCTCAAGTCATTTAAAAATATTTTAAGTTAAGTTACCAGACATCGAATCAGCGACTCTTCCGTCATCTCTGCTAAAAATAAATAATGAAGTAGACACTTTAACTTTAAAGTCACGAGGGATCTAAACAGTGACCTCCAACCTCTTTAAACGACTTGTTGCTTGAGTTACGTGTTGACGAGCTCATGCTTGAGTTTAAGTTTGAACCAAAACTTTATCCAGCTCCCAAACGTTCCTTTCCACTGAAGCTGGTGAGTAATAAGTGGGGTCAAACACAGATACATCTAAAGCAGGATGATTGACATCACCGCTGTCTTCCTAAAACAAGCCGTAATTAAACTCCGGATGGTTTTTGGCGCAGGTTTCTTTCTGAATGTCTTCCAGCAGAAGCCCTCTCTCCACACCTCCCCCTCCTCTCCTTGAAACCCTCTCCTCTCCTGCTTCATCTTCCCATCGATCAGACCTGTGCTGACACTCTGCTTCTCTCCTTTAATGATTAGTCTTCCTCCAACAGAACAAACATGCAGCAGTTTGGATCCGTCCCACAGAACAGCCGACTCAGATATTCACGACTCTCAGACTACAGATCCACACACATGCTGCATTAGTCTGCCTCCAGCATACCAAACACACGTGAAATCACACACACAGCAATATTCAGTTTATTTATGCAGTTTCTTTCTCCTCCGTCGTCTTGTGCCGCATCGATGGATCATCTCATTTATTCTCTATGTGAATCGATTAAGAGCTAAGATGAAAATCTGGCTTTGCGAGTTTTGCCCAAATTGTGATTTTGTTTATTGTCCAGTGAGCAATAATCCCTAAGATTGGCCGATGAGAGTCCGTAATTGTTCATTCTGTGGTCCCTAGTGAAGCCAGCTTTGTATGGTCAGCTGATCAGGGTGGGTGGGGGAGGGGGGGGACAATTACTTTTAATTGATCAAGTCAATTGACAGAAAAATATCGGCAAGTGTTTTGATGAACGACTTGTCCTTAAAGTCAGTCTATCTGCAAGAACGTCGTAATGCAGTTTTCAGCCTCTCAAATATGAGATTTCCTGCTTTTCTCACTTTTGTATCCTATTATTATAGAAATATGAAGATGTCGGTTTATAGGAAACGTTACGGGTCATAAGTACAGTTTTGAGGTACTTGTACTTTAAAGTATTTTCTATTTTACTTCTACTCCACTACAGTTCAGAGGTACATGGTGTACTTCTACTCCACTACATGTATTTAATCCCTTTAGTTCCTTTACAGATGTGGAAGAATGATATGAAATCAAACCAAGTGTTAAATCAGACTTTAGTTCCACCTGGAGTAAATCCACCAGCTACCCTGCAGTATACAAAGTCATTCAAACTAGCTGCACCTTTACCAGCTTTGAGAACACTTTCATGATCAATCATTATAAAACATATCATATATATTATTCTGAAATGGACCAATCTGCACAATGACTACTTTTACTGTCGCTACTTTCTCTATATTTTGATGACAATACTTTTCTACTTTTACTTGAGGAACATTTTGAATGCAGGACTTTTACTGTAACACAGTATTCCTACACTCTGGTACTTCTACTTTTACTCAAGTACAAGATCTGAGTACTTCTACTTTTACTCAAGTACAAGATCTGAGTACTTCTACTTTTACTCAAGTACAAGATCAGAGTACTTCTACTTTTACTCAGAACAAGATCTGAGTACTTCTACTTTTACTCAAGTACAAGATCTGAGTACTTCTACTTTTACTCAAGTACAAGATCTGAGTACTTCTACTTTTACTCAAGTACAAGATCTGAGTACTTCTACTTTTCCTCAAGTACAAGATCTGAGTACTTCTACCTTTACTCAAGTACAAGATCTGAGTACTTCTA